GGAGGCGGGTGACAGTGAAATAGAGAGTGATGTACATGGGAGGAGGGTTCTTGGTGAGAAACTCGGCGGGAAGCGCAGCGCGGTAGCGAGTGCCACTAGTACGAAGGTGAGTGACGAGGTCGGCTACTGTGGCAAAGGCGGACAGCTTTGGGAACAGATAGGGCAGGAGAAGGCGGCCTAGAGCAACAGTGGCCGAGAAAGAGTAACGAGCGACTACAACGTCGTACAGTGCTTTCGCAGTCTTATGCTGTCCGAAGTGAACGCGTTCGGCTAACGGGAGGTGGTTGTGAACGGCTAAGCGAGCAGCAGCATCACGAGTAAGCCACTGTGAGCGAGTCATACTGTCAGCTGTGGCGGCAGGGACGAGAGAGGCACCAGACATGAGGTCAAACACTGAGACTCCGTCCTTGGGATCGCTCAGTTAGAACAGCTGTAAGTCATCGAGCCACGCATCGAACTCTATCGGGCGGCCCTCTTGATCGAACGTGAGGACACTGAGCGTGGCCATAGCGGGCAGAGTGGTCGGGCACGCTAGCAGCAGAGCAGCACGCAGGTAGGGCTAGGCAGGCGAGCGCTCTAGCAGCAGGGCAACACGCAGGCAAGGGAAGGCAGGGCGGCGCAGGGCGACGCAGCAGCGTGCGGCGCGCGGCAAGGCAGGGCGCGCGGCAGGGCAGGGCGCGCGGTGGCGCGGTGCGCGGGCTAGGCAGGACGGCGCGGCGGCGCGGCTCGCAGGCAGGGCAGGGCGCGCGGCGGCGCGGCGCGCGGGCAGGGCAAGGCGCGCGGCGGCGCGGTGCGCGGGCAGGGCAGGGCGCGCAGCGGCGCGGCGCGCGGGCAGGGCGACGCGGCGGCGCGGCGCGCGGGCAGGGCAGGGCGCGCTGCGGTAAGCGGCTCGCGGGTCAGCAGGGCGCGCGTGCAAACAGGGCGCGCTGCAGCAGGCGACGCGCGGGCAGGGCAGGGCGTGCGCAGGCAGCCCGACGCAGGGCAGGGCAGGGCAGGGCAGGGCGGCGCGATCACAGCGGCGCGACGGGTGGGGTAGCGCTGCTCGGTGGGCCCTAAAGGAACGGTCCTAGGCTACGACCTGCTCGGAAACCATGTCAAAGTTATGAACGAGAATGGATGAACTAGCAGCAAGATGGGTACAAGTAGGAAACCCTAATTGGGTTGTATCCCATATGGGCTACCGCACTACAGCCTACACAATAAGAAGCATATAAGTTTGACAAAGGGTTAGTGGTAGGTGGAGATTTTATTATTGGGCTTTCTGTTGATTATGCATGGTTAGGATGTGGCCCAGACCGCCTCTGACTGCCCCGATCAGAGGCAATCAATAACTTTCAGGAAGCCCCGAGGCCAATTTCAGGCAATCAGAGACAATCAGTTGATCGCCCCAACTCGATCAACCGCCTCAAACACCCCAATTAATCACAATCACACACAATCAGTCACGATCCTTTGAATGCATGGGATTGGGGATCTTGGCGACGCCTACCAAAAAGTTGCCCAAGCATATTTCAAAGTGTACTTTGAGAGATTACATGGAAACAATTAATTCGCTACATCTTCGTTCTCGCCAAAACTGGGACGAGATTATAAGGAAATGCTGACACGTTTGCGGGGCAGGCGCCTTGAAATTTTGAGGACTATTAGTAATGATCGGGCGGCGCAAACAATGCAATCACAAGCAACCTGATCAGATCAGCGCCGATCAGAGGCGGTGTGGGCCACTTCCGTACTACAACCACGCCCTAAAGGCGGAATTTTGTCGCATCTGATGCATAGTTTCTGCCCATTTGTCGCTTACGACTTTAAGATAGTGCGCTTTCAATACACTTTTGATGTCACTGGTCCACACAAGGTACATAAGTATAAAACCAAAACTGTGTACACTCTAAGAAAAATCAGTAACTACCAGTTATTGCTGTTTACCTGCTAACATAAAAAAAAAACCCTTTAAGAAGGGTATTAACCCAAAACAGCAGGCCGCATGGTGTTTAGAGTCGTTGATTCTCCATAAAAAAACCTAAACACCTTGTCTTCTGGTGTTGAAGGTTGATAAATTCCTCGAGAACATGCCTTATGAGGGAGTTGTAATGCTCGGCTAATCGCCACTGTTGATGCTTTGGGTTTCTTGACGTTCGAACAAAACCTATGGAGATAACGACCAAATTGTTTGATTTGCGGGGTACTGTCAAAACTTTCCATGCTTGTCATATATTTTTCGTTGAAAATAGGGACCCAATTTGTGCATTTGTCTTCATTGCAACCAGATAATTCCGAACGCTACCACCCATTTTTTTCCGCGGTTAAAATACTGTACACCTGATGCTCACAAAATTGCGCGCGCATCTGCTCTTTCCAAACTCGATTCATAACCGATCGAGATTTTGTAACAGGCATAGCGAGCAGGTTTTGCGGTTTACAGACCTTCGGAGCCACTGCAATGACGAGGCAGTTAGTAAAATTCTCAATATTTGGAACAAAACAGTTTCAACAACCATATCCAGCCTCGCAACGCGGGGTACAATAAAAGCTGCCACCCTTTATTGCTACACTAAATAGAAAAAAATGTTACGCTTATAGTTTTTTATAAGCCCTTTTGCCCGTTGGCGAGGTTGACGAGCGCTCACGAACTGCAGCTCTCATTACATACCCAAAATGTAGAGTGACCTTGTGTAACTGTAATGAGCATCTGGGGTAACGCAGACCAGGTGTAACACTGCTCCCTGAGTGACAAATGGGCAGAAGTACTGCTCCAGAAGCGACAGAGATGTGCTTTTGGCGTGTAGTTTTAGAGAGCCTGCGTGATCAACTGAGAATCTTGTATTCTTCCTTGTACGGGACGCAGTACAAGTGCAAATATCGTAGGTTCGTCTGCAAATATCGAGCCCCACAATCGAATGGGCAGATCGATTGGCGAAATGTGGCGATCGTGACGCTGTAACGATCGCCCCTTTAGAATTGACAGGTCTCCCGCGATCAGTGATCAGTCGCATTCGCACACTGTACAGAATTTTTGGCAAAAAAGTGTATTGTAGCATAGTTACAGCTTAGTAAATCGGGTAACCAATTTGCACATCACGACTGATGATCGATCGTCTACTCTTACCGCGTCCTAAGTCTGTTGTATCTGTTGACTACGCGTTGTTAACAGCTGAGGCGTGGTATCCCATTTGACAGCTGTACTAATGTGTACACATTCCACAGCTGTACGCATTTGACGCGTTTTCAACAGTTGCGGCATGGTCCCTTTCTACAGCTGTCAAATGTGTACAGTTCACACTTTGGATTTCGGCTCAATCGTACTATTGTTGATTTGGATGGCAGATGTCAAATGGGAGGGTTGTACAAATGGCACTGGTCCAGTTTGTGGTGAAGACTTGCACCCTCTTGGGATGTGTTCATTGGCCTCTTCACCACAAACGGGACGGGTCTGGGACCTGTTGAAGTTCCTAGGACCTCAACAGAACTATTCTGAGCTGCTCGAATTCAAGCCTTGTTTTTCACGGGCGCAGGCCGAAACCAAACCTTTAAATCGGGCTCTGAGTGTACTTAATCCCGAATCTAACAAATGTAAATGACCTAATACTTAACGATGTGTAGGAGCATACTAAGTTCTCATAAACACACCTACGGCCTCTACATTGTAGGTAGAAACGTTGCAGTCAAAACATCGTAGGCAAAGCATCGCAGACTAAACATCGTGGCAAAACCATCTGGGGGGTGGGGAGGAAGGGAAGGTATTAGGGGCGGGGGGTGGGGGCCCTTTGAAACAGAAACCAAAACCTTGATACTGGGAAAGGCCGTTAATTGTTACCGGTACCAGGCCAATCGAACACTTGAAACGGTCGAGCTGCTCCAAAAGCAGCCCGGAATGTTCAAGGCAATAAAACCCAGGGTCCACAGGTTTCAAAGTTAGGAAGGTTGGTTGGACTTAGTGACAAAACCAAAGGTAGGAAGCTTGGTTGGACTTTGTGACCCAACCAAAGGTAGGAAAACACCTCTACTTCGACAGCCTTCTACGATTGGTTCGGGCAATTTATAAACAAAACCCAGTCAGTCATATTGCCGGCCGATAACAGTAGCAGATACACCTTCTTTCTCGCTGTACACTGAATTGTACGGAACTGGCTGGCGGGCCTTGTTTTGTTGGAGCTGCCTAATTGAACCATACCGAAACATGATCAAAATACCTTGCACCGTGCTTCTCCTCTCCGGAATCCACTATACCGAAAACCATTATTTCAACAGTAGCTCTTACAGAACATTCAGTGACACATCAATACCAGATACCCCTCTCAACCGAGAAGGGTTGGAATTTCCCAAGCCTCTAGGCATCAACCTCCCGAAGTTCAGTTTCCATACATAGATTTCTCAACAATCGCTTTACTAGTGAGTAGCTCGTTAGCTAGGGAGTAGGCAATGCGTTACCTTCCGTCTCATTGCCGATTCTGCACCTCGCGTAAACCGTTTAGGGGAGCCGCTGTGTGAGCCAATTTCGACCGTTGCAAGCTCTTCGTATCAGTTCGTTCGACGGCTCAGAGTGTTTCATCCTATGTGTGTGTGCTTTCGACATGGCTGAGAAAAACATCGAGATTAACGATTTTTCGGGCGCTTATGAAGCCTCGGACGTTTCCGGTACACCAGAGTCTGGGTTCGTCGAGACTCAGAGTCGAGAGGTGGTTCTTGCCCCGTCAGGGAAACACGACGAAGCGGATAGCTATTCTGCGATTGGAGTCGCGAGTGACCGGAACACGGCTGTAACGGGAACGTTTTTCGGACGACAGGAAGACGGCCCGCGGGATTCGAGGCGTTGGTATCGGGATTGGAATCAGGATATGGCGGAGGCGATTATATTCAAGGTCTCGCAGATTTTGCTGGATCAGAGGAGAAGATTGGAAAATTTGCAGCGGAAAGGCCGCTCTACAAGTGTGGTGGACTCGCGGCCATGGATCGTTGGCTGCGCTGCCTGGCTTCTTGTGCCTCTCGTTTTCGTGCTATGCATGATTCCCATTACCAACCGAGTGAGTTGTTTATTTCATAGGCTCAAATGCCTCTCGTTCCGTGCTATGCGTCCCGTGGGAACTATACAAGCTTAGCACCTTGGAGCCAATCAGGTCGTGAAAAGGCGCATGGAGGCCTTGAGCTGAGGACTTTCAGACTATGCACGAACTCCTGCTTTACAGGTGAGTTACGACGACTTGGTGCAGAACGAGGTTTGTGCGGCGCACCGAACCAATACGAACTACCGGGTTCCGAAGCTTCCATGCTAAACGAAAAAGTGCGAGCCAAGGCGATGTTCCAGCTTGCTTTGGTGCGCACCGGCGATACGATCCATCTATTGTTCCCTGCGCCTACAGCTCTTTAGATTCATGCCCATCCTTTGTTGCCGAACCTCCCGAACCTCAGGTTAAATTGGATGACAGCAGTCAGCTTTGGAACCTCTCCCCTTCTGTGTGGTCGCCTGTAGCGGCGTGGGAGCGGCCCGGGTGCATTCTCACTCTCGACTCGCGCTACACCCCCCAGGGGGTGCTGGCAGTGGAGGCGGCTGTAGCGCAGCTGCTGAGGGACCTTGGGGTAGAGGCGGAGGGGGTGGGGGGGGAAGGGATACGGGGAGAGGGGTTCGGGAGGGGAGGGAAAGCAGGAGAAGGGAGAGGGGGGGAGGGTGTAGGGACGGGGGCAGGGGATGGGGGACAGGTAGGGCGGAGGGGGAAGATGCTTGAGCGGAGTGAGAGGGAGGTGGAAAGGAAGAGGTTGAGAAGGAGGGCGAGGGATGGGGAGTGGGGTTGGTACGGAGGAATGAAGGGGAGACGGTTGAATGAAGGGGAGGGAGAGGAAGAGGGGCAGGGGAAAGAAGGGGGGCAGAGTAAGGAAGAGGATCAGGGGAAGGATGAGGGGCAGGGGAAGGAAGAGGGGCAGGGGAAGGAAGAGGGGCAGGGGAAGGAAGAGGGGCAGGAGAAGGAAGAGGGGCAGAGGGAAGGAGGGAATCAGAAGGAGACGGAAAAGGAGAGAGGAAAAGGAGGGAAGGGGATGCCTGAGGCGTGGCGGAGGTTCTATGGGTTGCTGCCTAAGGTGGTGGATGCGGACGGGAATGAGGATCAGAGGAAGATGTCTATATGGGTGACTCTGGCCGTCAACATGTGCGTATGGTTGTATAACGGCATCGTGTGTGTGCGTGGGTTATGCTGTAGGCATAACAACTTGTATGATGTCATGTTGTGTGTGTTATCAGTGCGGCGGCATGGATAACAGATGGTGGTGAAAAGAAAGGGTCAAGGAAGTCAATATTCCTAAAGGATATACGTGTGCTTTTCCATCTCTCTCCTGCAGGATATACGCGCGGCGGCATGGGTACCGACTCGTGGTGGAGAATGGCTCAAAATACACACCGGATAGACACCCGGCCTGGTTCAAGGTGAGTGTCTGTCACAGAGTCTGCTTGAGGTCTCCCTCGGCCTGGTTTAAGCCAAGAATGGCACCCCACCCCGCCCAGCGAAAGTGTCAGCGAGTCTGGTTGGTTCAAGGTAAAAGAACTGAACCTGGTTTCGCCCGGCTCGATTTTTTCCCGGGCCGAATTTTCAATTTGAGCTTTCTGCCGGGTCAGGCCGGATCAGGTTCGGCCTGCCGAATCACAACACATGCTGTTGGATAAATACTCAGACAAAAGAGAATCACTACATGCGACTATAACACAAGTGACCCGGGCTGAACTCGAATCGGCCAGGGTCGGGCTGGAAAAGGGTGGGTCAATCCTTTTTCGGCCTGGGAAATTGTGGCCGAACCCGGGCGAGGGAACTCCTCGTACTGCCTGGGGGGCAAGTGGGGAGAGAAAGGAAAGGAGAGAGAGGGAGGGAGAGGGGGGGGAGGGTGGGTGGGGGGGGGGGGTACGAGGAAATATGGTTTGGTCTGGTTTGCAGGGAGGGCCGGCCAGGTTCGACGACCTCACATATCCTTCCCAACCTCCCCCCACCCCGCACCTTCCCGCCCTGGGGGTCTAGCCCCTCCAGCTCTTCCCCGTCAATGTGATGTCCACTTCTCCCCCGCCCCATCCAGCTCCTCCTCCTCATCCTGCTAACCCCCCGCTCTCCTCCCCTCCTTCCCTCCTCCCCTCCACCCCCCCCCCCCCCCCCCTCCCCCTCCTCCTCCTCCTCCTCCTCCTCCTCCTCCTCCTCCTCCTCCTCCTCCTCCTCCTCCTCCTCCTCTTCCTCCTCTTCCTCCTCCTTCCCCCCCCTCCCCTCACCCTCCTCCCCCTCCACCTCCTCCGCCTCCTCATCTCGTCCTTACAAATTGAGAGTTCTGGGACGTTTTGTTTCTTTGTTTGTTTCTCGTTGTTGTTGTTGAGCTTCTGAGCGTGTTTATAGTGCACTTCTTGCTTTTGCATAGCTTCCAAACATGCATAGCTTCACGTCCCCATGAGCGTATCCATCAACATAGCCCTGCTGTCGCTCTTCCCTGCTTTCCCTCCGTTCCCTTCATTCCCTATTTTCCCTGTTTCCAATGCATTCCTTGCTTTCCCTGCATTCCCTGCATTCCGTGCTTTCCACACATTCCGTGCTTTCCCCCTTCCATTTCATGCTTCACCCCTGCAGGTGCGGATTCTGCAGGAGCAGCTGGCATGCTGCTGCCAGTGGGCCTTCTTTGTCGACTCAGACGCCTACATTCGCATGAACCACCACCGCCTCTCAGTGGAAGCATGGATCCAAGCCATCAAGCAACCAGTGAGTGCATGTTTGTCCCATCCCATCATGCATGCTCCTGCCTGCATACCAGTGGGCCTTCTTTCTCGACTCAGGCCATTAAGCAGCCTGTGAGTGCGTGCTCACTTCCTCTTCAAGCGTGCACCAGCCATTGTTTTCCTGGCCCACGCATGGGTCAACAGGGTGTGGTTGGTTGCCTGCCACAGGGCACGAACTGTGAACGGTGCACCCCTCCCCACGCTGCCTCACCCCTCCACACTCCTCCGCACCGCTCCTCGCCACTCCCTTGTTTCCAGGACTACTTCAACTGGCTGCTGGATGCCAAACTGACAGATTCCTTGGACGGCCAGGTGTGGCTCCCGCAGGACCCCGCCCTGCTGCTACAGCCAGCCACCGCGCGACAGCTGGAGGGACCTGTGGTTCTGATGCCACGGAATGGGGACTCGCAAAATGGGTTTCATGGGAGCGCCGATGTGCTATTTATGGAGAACCAAGACTATTGCAATTCGGGGGTGCTGCTCTTTAGACGGTCACTGGACTCTTTCCAGGTGAGCTTCTCCAGGGGTAAATCAAGTACCGGTACTCTTCTTTTAGGAAAGGGGCGGGGGAGGGGGGAAGTGGGGTGCTGTAGGGGGTGCTTTCAATAGAGCTTGCTGAGCTCGCATATCCGTGTGCTTGAATAGCATGCTTGCAGGCAGTGGTTTGCCTTCTCTTGCTCTTGAAGGTGAGGCATGCAACGCAACGCACCACAACTCGTATCCCCTCCCCTTCCACCTCCACACAGTTCTTGAAGCAGTGGCATGCAATCACTGAAGCAGACGAGTTCCATCGGTACAATCACGTGTGGGAGCAGATGAGTTGAATATTGAGTCGTCTGGTGTCCCCTCCCCCCTCCCACTCCCCCGCAGTTCTTGAAGCAGTGGTACACGATTCCCGAATCAGGCGAGCACTATCGGTACAATCACGAATGGGAGCAACCAAATCTGAACGCCGTAGCTCTAAAGGAGCAGTGGAAGGGGAAGGTGATAGTGGTCCCGTATGCGGAGCTCACAGGGCCTAACGGAGCTATGGTTCGGCATGTGTGGGGTGGCGTGCCTGAGGGGGCACATCACAGGGTGTCAATGGAGGCCTTGGAGGAGATCATGGGGTTGCCGCAGTGAGGGGGTGCCTTTGAGTGTTCTCTGAAGCAACTACAGAGTAGCTGGCTCGAGGGAGCACATCACAGGGTATCAATGGAGGCCTTAAAGGAGCCTTATCATGGGGTTGCGGCAGTGGGTGAGGCCGTGTGCCGTGTGTTGGATTTTCCAAGGAAAGCACATGACTGACAGGGTGGTGGTGGTACAGGTGATTTTTTAGTCGACTCAAAAGTCACCTTGGAAGCACATGACAGGGAGCAGGGTGGTGGTGGAGGCGCTGGTGGAGGCGCGTTACTTGCTACCGATGTTTTGTCGTTTAGTGTATGCTTATGCCTTCTATTAACGATAATGTTTATAAAGAAGTCTGTATTTTCTTTGCGTAATCCTACATACCTGGGACAGCACCGCTCATACACGTACCTCATATCTCTTTTGTAAGCTCAATCAAATAGCTCCGTAGATAATATGACTTTTTAGAGCGTATTCCTATCCTCGTATCAAGAAAACCTCATATCAAGATTGTACTTTTTGCCTGGTAAAAGTAGCGAGAGGTTTCGGGTTTAGGGGAATTTTCAGTGGGAGGTTGATATGAGGTTTTCTTGATACGAGGATAGGGATACGCTCTTAGCTGGCACGGCTCGATTGCATCTACTTGCGAAGTGATCAAATCTTCACTGTAGAAAGTTCTCAGCTTACACTACCCCCTCGAATCGTACAACCGTATACAAGGTAAAGCACACTATTACAAGGAAGAATATTCCCTTACACTTACCCCCTTCAACATCAAGCAGTTGCTTCGGCGCCATAGTGGTAGGGAAGGGAAGGTAGGACTTGGGTGGAAAGGGAAATTCGCGAAGTGAGGTCACTGTGCAGGTACCATGCATACCCACCATATATCCGGGCGGGCGAGTCTTGCAATATTGAGCGAAACTGTAGATCATCGGTCAAGCTGATCCGACGGCTCAGATTGTCGTTAAAACGCGAGCTGTCATTATCCCACCTAGGATGACTCGCCTCCCTCCTTGGCCTTGGGCTGGCATGTGAGCTTGTGCGAGGGCCAGTGGGCCTTTTGGCATTCCCTGCTGCAGTAGGCAGCCTTGCCGCACCGCGAGCATAGCTTCAGCTGCACCCCCGCCCCTTCCACCTTGCTGCACTGCGGGGAGCCACAGCCCCGTGGCCCTCCCTTGCCACCGCGCCCCTCACCTCCTCCACTTCGACCCCCTTCCACAGGGGCAGCAGCAAAACCACCTCCAGCAGCATGGGCAGCAGCATCGGAGGCAGCAAGGGCGTCCAGCTTGGCCTGGGGGCAGTAGCTGGTCTCCCCCAGCAGCATCTCCCTCAAACACGCCAGAGGATTCACCCCACCCGGCCACGGCTCCAGGTACGATGCCACTGCCCTCCCCCTCTCGCCCTCCCCACCCTCTCCCCGGCGCGCGCCACCAGCTGCAATGACAGTCTGAATCAGCGCTTGCTTCCGGGCATCCGCCACGGCCTTCTCGTCTCGTAGCGCGCGCTCCATGCCCGCACAGCTCTCCTCCATCCCCTCGCCACCATCCACCCCCGCCTCCCCACGCCCCTCCACAGCAGGCCACGCCATAATAGCCGCCCGCCGCCAACTATCCACCTCCTCCCACATCCTCCACTCCTCATCCCCCTCCCGCACGCCCTGCCACCCCAACCCACCCTCCTGCCCCACCCCGTCCTGTCCCACCGGCTCCAGAATGTTCCCTACCTCCCCTTCCTCTCCAATGAGCCGAATGCCGAAGAAGAGGAACTGCAGGCGCTGCTCCTCCATCACGCCTTCCAGCAGCGCCACCACCAGCGAGTCCGGGACCACCGCAGGGACGGGCGCTATTCCCAGAGACCCCAGGAACTTTCTGAAGCGTGCGGAGCGCGGAGGGAAGAGCGAGAGGATGCAGCGCAGCAGCGCGGACGAGGGGCGGTAGGCGAAGGTGGCGACGAGCGAGGAGAGAGTGACTGCGCGGTCGTACCTGCGGATGCAGTGCCGGCAGCGTGTGCAGGCCGGCGCAGGAGAAATGCTACCCGCGATCATCTCTATGAAGATCTCCACTTGGATTGTGGACCGTAGGATCGGCTTGATCTTGCCAAATGAGTACGGGCCCAGAGCTATAGCCGCCCAGGTTCGATCCTCCAGGTCCAACTGGCCAGCCCAGGAGGTGATAGTGCGGGCCAGAGGGCCGTTCCTGCCCTCCCTTGCCAGCCTTGCAGGCGCGAACCTTCTCAGAAACTCCTCCACGCGGTGGCTCAGAGTGGCGAAGAATGGACCGCTTGTGTTGTCCTCCAGAGTGCTTGTGGAACTGGAGGAGGCACCCGGTTGGGGCAGGTTAATCTCCCTCACGTTGTACTCCTTCTGCATCTCCTCCTTGTCCAACTCACTGCCGCCGTGAAACGCCCCCACCTGGAACGTCTTGATCCCCGTGAACTCCCCGGGGTCCTTCTCAATCTTAGCCACTGCGGCCCTGTTTCCCTCTGGAAACTCCTTCCAGACCGTTGTTGCCGAACCTTCCAGGCCTGGCGCGGCTGCAGGCTTGGGCATGGCGCCGAACCTGATCATCAGGTTCGGGAGGTCGTGGATCGGGTGGGGAAGAGAAGGGCCTGGGTTTTTCTGGTCAGAGCACGTGCAGGCCTCTGCGGGGTTGACCCTGGAGCCGTAGAGTCGCACCCATCGCAGCAGGCAGGTGACTCGGTACGTGAACAGTGCCACCACCATGTTACTGTTCACCGGGACAAGGCCGGAGCTGCCTGCAGAACCAGACCCAGCAGCAGCAGCAGCAGCAGCAGCAGCAGCAGCAGCAGCAGCAGCAGCAGCAGCAGCAGCAGCAGCAGGAGCAGCAGGAGCTGTTGCTCGTGCGTCTGAATCCACTTTTTGCTTCCCTCGATCCTGCACTCCACTCCCCTCCACACTCCCCTCCCCCGCTGCCAGCCGGTTCCTTGCCTCCTCCACAGCAGCGTCCTCCACCCTCTCCTTGTGGCGGCTGCCAGCACAGTCAGAAAAGATCAGAGCAGCACTCCGGGCGAACAGCGGCTGGCAGAAGAGAGTGCCGCACTTGAGGGCGAAGTCCGAGGGGTCCGCACCAGATATCACCATGCCACTGCTGCTGCCGGGTTGAGTTCCCAAGGCCCCTTCGCTCGCCCTCCCCTCTGCTCCCTCGCCCTGGCAGCACTGCGAGCAGCAGCAGCGGTACTGCTCGCCTGCCAGCCCTCCCTGGGCGGCAATCTTCCCCACTCGCTGCACATATTCCTCCCACTCCACCCCCCTCAACCCCTCCCTCCACTCCTTCCCCCGTCCCCCCACACTGCCGCGACTTTCCCGCTCCTCTCCCCCCTCCCCGTGCGCGTCCCTCCCCCCCGGCAGCAACGGCAGCAGGTGGGCAGCAAAGCCGGTCTCCAGCTGTTCCTTCCCCTTCACTCCCAGCACCTGCAGCAGCAGCGACGCCAAGCAGTCGCCCTGCGCCTGCCGCCCCGCGCCGAACTGGAACGCCATCATGGAAAAGACCACCTCAGGGGAGCGCAGGTGCGCGCGCCACAGCATGACGAAGCGGGGGAACTTGGCGACAAGCACGGTGAACGCAGCGATGGACACGGCGCGGCGGTAGAGAGTCCAACAGCGGCTGCACTGCCAGCAGCACCACCACAGCAACGGAGGGTACGGGTCAGCGGTGGCAGCAGGAGCAGGAGAAGCAGCAGCTGCGGCTCCTCGTGCGGCGCTAGCTGCCCTCCGCGCCGCAGCGAGTTCGTTGATCTGCATGATATCTGCCAGCCGGTGCCGTATCTCCTGTAGGTCCAGTAGCAGGCCGACACGTGGCTCTGCCAGCCATTCGAGCATCATCCCCTCTGCTGCAACCACAGGCGCCGCGTCCGCCTTCCACCGATACTGCTGCGCCACCGACGGCGCTGCTGCGCCGCTGGTATAGCCTGGAAAGCGGCGGGGAGGGGCGGAGAGCGGGACGGTGGCGGAGTAGGCGAGGATGGGCGGCGTGGGCTTGTTGGGGAGGCGGAAGGGCGGCATGGCGGGCGGCACGGGCTGCTGCAGGTGCTTGCGCAGCGAGGCGAGGCTTGAGATGCGGAAGGTGATGGACGGGGCGGGGCGGAGCATGCGGGGGAGGCAGCAGGCGCGGAGGGAGTGCGACCACGGCAGGTGCACGTCCACGTAGTGCACCATGTGCGGCCGGGCCAGCGGCACGTGCTCCACGTGTACCATCTGCCTGCTGCTGCTGCCGCTGCTGCGGGGTCCGCTGTTGTTGCCGCTGGTACCATTGGTGCCACTGTTAGTGCCTGCGGCAGTGGCAGCGGTAGTGGTGCTGTTAGTGTCGTTGCCCACGGCAGAGGGCGGAGCAGGGGGAGAGGAAGGAGCAGCAGCAGGTGCAGGCGCAGGGAGCAGGGCGGGTGCAGGAACGGACACAGGAGCAGGGGAGGGCGAACTCTGAGGTTGGAGGTTCACGTCAGAAGCCAGCGATAGGTCTTCAAACTTCGCGTGTATGGCGCCGGCACCAGGCGCGACTTGTGCGGCAGTTGCGACGTTGCTGCCGCTGGTGTTCCCTGCGTTTTCCCCGGTCGCAGATTTCGATTTCACTGCCAGCACTTTAATCACCGTACCCGATTTAAGCCTGGCCTTGTCGGCGGATACGGAAGGCGATAGGTACACCACATGCCCAACAGCCATGAATCGAACAACCTGCTTCTCTTCGCCCTTGCTGCTGCTCTTTTCCACGTCATCCTGTGTCTGCTGAGCTGGCAGGCAGCAACGCGGCAGGTGAGACTGAAACAGCTTTTCAAATGCTGTTTGGAGAGGTTCGTGCGGCTCAACGGTTATGGAATAATCCACGTGGGACACTGCTGGCTGTTGGATCGTAGCCGTAGATCCTTCGCTCGCGGATTCAGCGACGCGGTCAGCCCCACTGCTGCTCGTGGTAATGCCGCTACCGTCAATGCTGCCATTCGCGTTGTTAAGACAAGGAGTGAGCAGAGAAGCGGGAACCCTAAATCGAAGTAAGAACTCCATGATGCAGACGAGGAAGCTACTACCACGACGTAAAAAAGTTGATAGGCCTAAAAAAGTGCTGTTCGTCTAACCATAATGAGCCTTTTCCAGGACACACATCGCGCGTTCGGCGCTATTCTCGCGTGTATATACTGAACGCCTTCTCGAGCTCTTTGGTTTAGGAACTGCATGGATAGGCGGTTTTACTCCAACGATAGCGACGGAAGATCGCGACCCTCAAGAAGCCCATGTCAGGGTTTCTGGAGAAAAACGCGGGAGATTCGAACGCTAGGCTAGGAGTTCCCAAGGTTTCAGAAAGTGCCGCGCTTCAATTGCTGCAGCAGCGTTTGGCTGTTCACGTGTCAAAGCCGGGCCTGGGCTTCGGTTTAGGCATGGAAGCAAAGTCCGTCCGAACCGAGGCATCTGGGGCGATTGAAAGGGTTTTTTGCACTTTTTAGGGGTTGTGTTTCCAGCCATAACGAATGTCATGAATGATCTTAAAGCCCGCGCCCCAAATTGCAAGCCGCGCGCGTCAACCTTTCGGGTTACCGAGTTTTGGGGAGACTGATGTCCGAGCGACACAACAGAGGTTGTTGTAAGGAATTTTCCTTAATTCCTTATCGGGTTGACTGCTACGCGTACAGCCCGATTTTCGGACTTCGCACGTTCGGCCGATTTCAACGCTGCCGAGGCTCCTCGCGTCGCCTTCGGCATTCCCATCGCCAAACCTGCACCCAACCTCGTTTTCCGAGGTTTCCTCCTAGCTAGGCTAGCCCTACATTAGTCTGTGCATTCATTGTATTCGCAGTTGAGTGAATCACAGTCTCGTTATTCGTTTACCTGCGCACTCTCTTTTACAACTCATAACACCTGGTATCAGAGCTACTTTCCTAGTTCACCCCGCTTTTCGAGGGTAGTTTGGTGGCAGGGGTGTGGTTGGTTTAGTGACTACACGACGGTTGGCTGCAGGGATTGTTAACTCAATCCTGCCCGACTCCGATAGTTCGTGTTTTCACTTGCCTGGATACCACGGGTACCCACTTGCCCACCAGACGAAGCGTTAGGCACATGGATCAGGAGAAGTTAGACGAAATGTTGGCGCAAATGGCAGCATTACAGGCAACAGTGCAGACACTATCGGCGGAAGTGACAACACTACGAGGAGAAAACGCCGAGCTACGCCAGACGCGAGGTGAAGCGCGTCAGGAGTCGCCCGATGAAGAAGGCGAGGGCAACAGTCAAGTGATGGGCAATCCTCTGGACGAGCTCACACGTGACTTCGAAGAAGAAGATAGGCGGCAAGCGGCAGTTGCGCCAGTTGCAGTCACGACGATCAAGATCAAGCCCGTCAACCCGCCCCCGTTTAATCCTACGGACAAAACGGTTACGGTAAAAGGGTGGCTGTTCGGGGTCGAGGTCTTTTTCACTGCAGCCGGAGTTAATGACGATGCCACGCGTATTAATTACGCGGTCTCGCTTCTTCGAGGTGCAGCACTTGAGTGGTGGCGCCGGACCTTGGAAACGGGGACGCCGACAGGTGTGACACATGCAGCAGACGGGACCTCTACAGTGGTTAATCAAGTGGCAGAATCGATCTTCGGTGTGACCAAGATACGCACGTGGAAGGAGTGGGGCGCAGCCTTACGAGATCGCTTCGAGCACGTATCCGCCTCGGAGCAAGCTCGCATGAAGCTGCGTGCATGGTCGCAGATGGCCTCTGTCCAAGACTACACGGCGTCATTTATGGGCTTCGCCGACCAAATTGATGACATGTCGGAAGCAGAGCGGTTGGATAAATATGTCAGCGGCCTTAAATATGAGATACAGTTCGAGGTCCGCCGAAGCCGCCCGACATCGTTCCTCGAAGCAGTACGCGTGGCGGAGTCAACTGATGCGCTGATGCAGTACGCGAGAGCAGCTTCCAGGGATGGGAGAAGCTTTCGTGGCCAGACCCATCGGGCCACGATCAACGCCGTCCATACACCCGACCGCCCTCCTAAGGGTCCGTATTTTCGGTGTGGGAAGGTGGGTCACTACAGGAAAGACTGCCAGGAGAAAATGCCGCTGACAGGGGACGACAGGAAGGAGCAGGGAAATGGGAAGAGTCAGTAATTAGCTGGCCCTTTACTGACTGTGCTCCGTCGCCCGAACACCATCATCCCCACCGAGTCGTGGTTCCGATTCATGCAATCGATCGCACTCGGCCGAATAACGGGGATAATCATGTGGATCACCCTGTGCTGGTCGCTGGCAAGGTGTTAAAAAATAACTTGAAAATGTTCGTCGATGGAGGGGCCAGCCATAGCCTCTTCAACTTGGCGAGCGCAAAAAAATGCAAGCTGCAACTTGACAGGTGTCTGCCCGAAATTGACGCTCGCCTCGTGGATGGGACGCCTCTGGCGATAACGGAAGAAACACGGACGGTCAGGATCGACTGCGGCGACGATTTCGGCTTCAGCATGAAGTTTCTCGCGACAACATTGGATGGCTGCGACGTACTGCTGGGACGTGATTGGCTGCGACGGCACAACCCCGTCATCGACTGGACAACGGGATCGTGCAGCATCAGCAAGCACGAGGGGTTAATAAAATTACCTGCATGGACACCTGACTACATCCAAGCCCCGTGCGTCAAAGCTATCACTATAGCTCGCCACTTCAACAGAGGCGCGCAGCTGTTCGCTGTTTGCTTATGCGAGTTGGCAGTTGACACCGAGGGAAAGGACATCGAGAAGCTGTGTGCACCTGTACCACCGGATTTAGCGGAGCTGATTCGGAGGTACCCGGACATCTTCCCCGACGACCTGCCACCTGGACTGCCACCCGAGAGACCTGAGGACCACAAAATCCAGCTGGAACCTGGCGCGCAGCCGACTGTTCGGACACAGTGGCGGTTGACCCAGCCGGAACTCGAGGAGCTGCGAAGTCAAATTGATGCACTGTTGGAGAAAGGGTTCATTCTGGCCAGCACATCTCCCTTCGCAGCACCAATCTTGTTCACTCCGAAGAAGGACGGCGGGCTTCGCATGTGTATCGACTATCGCGCGCTGAACCGGGTCACCATCAAGTCTCGCTACCCAATCCCACGAACCGACGACCTCCTCGACCAACTTCGCGGCGCTCGCTATTTCTCGAAGATTGACTTACGTGGCGGTTACCACCAGATTCGAGTCTTCGCCGACGATTGTCACAAGACTGCGTTTCGCACACGCTACGGGAGTTACGAATTTACAGTGATGCCTTTCGGCCTCACGAACGCGCCTTCGACTTTTCAACTGACCATGAACAGAGTTCTTCGGGATCTTCTAGACCGGTGTGTCATCGTCTACTTGGACGATATCCTCATTTTTAGCAAGACACGGGAGCAGCACCTCCGAGACCTGGATGCAGTGTTTAAACGACTGCAGGAGAACCGACTCATCACCAAGGGCTCTAAGTGCGAGTTTTTTAAGCAGGAGTTGGAATTTTTGGGGCACGTCATCTCGCGCGACGGCATTAAAATCGACCCGGCGAAAATCAAGACCATACAGGAGTGGAAGTCCCCGACGAACGTCACGGAACTCCAGAGTTTTCTCGGATTCGTGAATTACGTCCGGCGGTTTATCCCGAATATGGCGGGGATAACCGGCCCGCTGACCGACCTGCTGCACAAGGACAGGAATTTTGTGTGGGGGGAGGAGGTAGAAGCGGCTTTCCAGGAACTCAAGAATTTTCTCGTTTCCCCTCCTGTGCTGCGCATCGCCGACCCATCGAAGCCGTTCGAAGTTGTAACCGACGCCTCAGATTTCGCCATCGGAGCTGTGCTTCTCCAAGATTTCGGGAACGGGTTGCAGCCGATAGCCTACGAATCACGCAAGCTGCAGGCAGCCGAACGCAACTACCCGATCCACGACAAGGAGATGCTCGCCATCATACACGCGTTTAAATTATGGCGATGCTACCTGGTGGGCGCCGACGTCACTGTTCGCACGGACCATAAGTCCCTACAGTACCTGCGAGCCCAACCCAACCTCAACCCACGACAGATTAGGTGGCTGGATTACATGGAGAGCCACTTCACCTACCGCATCACGTACAAGAAAGGGGCGAATAACATCGCCGACGCCCTGACCCGACCGACAGTACAATCCGCTGCAGTACTCATCACCCATTCGAACCCGCTACTTACAGGACTATTCACCCACGGCTACACTACGGACCCGTTCTTCACGACTGGGAATCATCAGCAGGCCACGACGCAGAAAGGGGATTATTACCTAAAAGCCGGAACCGACCGGATTTGGGTTCCCGCCTACCGGCTGCTGCGTGAACTTCTCATCCAGGAGGTCCACGATTTGAATTTCTCCGGACACTTCGGGGTTGATAAAACCCAGAAATTACTGCACCGTCAATATTATTGGCCTGAATCCTCTAACGACGTGCAGCGATATGTGTCCTCATGCAGGGTGTGCCAAGCTATGAAATCGACACGTCAACGACCAGCTGGGCTGCTGCAACCCCTCGAGCCACCCGAACGACCGTGGCAGCAAGTGACGATGGATTTCGTCACGGGGATGCCAGCTGGGCCGTCCGGCAACGACGCTGTTCTCGTCGTCGTCGATCGCTTCACGAAAATGGCGCACTTCGCACCATGCCGAACGACAAATCACAGCCGAAGAAACTGCGCGCCTCTTCATCTCAACGGTCGTGCGACTACACGGCATCCCTTCGGCGATCGTCAGTGACCAAGACCCGAAGTTCATATCAAAGTTCTGGAAAGAGACGTGGGCGCAGTACGGCACGAAGCTACAGTTCTCATCGGCATATCATCCACAGACGGACGGTCGAACCGAGCGGACCAATCAGACCATGGAGCAGCTGATCAGGACAAACTGCCCCGACCCTGCCCGCTGGGAAGAATCCCTCGCTATGTTGGAGTTCGCTTTCAACAACGCACCGTCCAGCACGACTAATCACTCGCCGTTCTTCCTGAATTACGGGATGGACCCAACAGTTCCTACGGCAACTACACTCGACAACCCGGTCCCGAGGTCACAGACTTTTGTGACGGAACTCCAGGAAGTCCGAGAAAAAGCCGCAGACGCAATTCGCAAGGCGAATATCACTTCCCGAAAATACACCGACCTTCTACGCCGGGAACTCGTCTTGACCACGGGGCAATTAGTGCTACTTGACACGAAGAACCTGCACCTGCCCGGCCCGTCGAAACTACGGCCACGATTTTGTGGACCATTCAAGATTATCAAGATGGTGACACCTGTCACCGCGAAGCTGTTGCTACCCGACGAATGGCGAATTCATGACGCCTTCCACGTGAGCCTTCTTCGCAAGTTCGTGCCGGCCACGACCGACATCGCACGTCAGCAAGCTGCCCCGACAGCACGACCTGTTCCGGAGCCGACCCTTGACCCTTCGAAAATTCTCGCTCATCGGGTCCGAATTGACGCAGCTGACCGACACGTGGATTTCTTAATCCGCTGGACTGACCGCACCAGTGAGGACGACACGTGGGTGCCATCCGCCTCACTCGACGCCTCGCCACTTGTTCGTGATTATTTGGCGCGCAAGTGTGTTTCGGGCAATGACCGCCTTTCTTAAGGGGGGGGGGTAGTGTAAGGAATTTTCCTTAATTCCTTATCGGGTTGACTGCTACGCGTACAGCCCGATTTTCGGACTTCGCACGTTCGGCCGATTTCAACGCTGCCGAGGCTCCTCGCGTCGCCTTCGGCATTCCCATCGCCAAACCTGCACCCAACCTCGTTTTCCGAGGTTTCCTCCTAGCTAGGCTAGCCCTACATTAGTCTGTGCATTCATTGTATTCGCAGTTGAGTGAATCACAGTCTCGTTATTCGTTTACATGCGCACTCTCTTTTACAACTCATAACAGTTGTGAACCAATGAGAACAGACCACCTGATGATGTGAACCAATGAAATCTAATACAATTGTGTTCTGTCGCAGACCAGGATTCGGAAGAACCCGTCTTGCCATCACTCACCCAAAAACTTGAAACAGATTGTCATGCAATTTGGAACTTCAAAACACAAACTAGCACAACGCTGAAGAGTCGTACAATAGGGCCACACACGTCACTGACACACCAGGATTGTCCATGGCACGCCTGATAGCATTTAGTCGCCATCAAGATGGCATATAGGGCGCAACCACCAAATCCCGCGGTTATTGATCCCGGTCGTATGGGCCGTGTCGTGGTTATAGTGCTGAGGACAAATCTAAACGGCCGTTGTGACGATGGTCGCGTTCGCGATCAAGGCCATAACAAACACAGGCATGGCGGCACGCCGTCGACTTGTCATGAAGCCTCGTTCTGCTCTCCACCTTCGCCCTTACGCGCCGCGTAACGGCGCGCTGTGACACGTCGCGCATAGTTTTAGGGCGCGGTGAGAGGTTGCGTGGCGCATCGTCGCAAACACGTCGTCGCTCTCAACTACACGTGGAGTGGTAAAACGCTGACTCGATGCTGCATCTTAGGAGCGAATGGCAGGAAATGCGCGCATCGCTTACAAATACGCGCATCGGTTTGAGATGACGCGACCAGCTTCGACATGGCATTTGCGTAGTAGACATGTCGCCGTCAGGGCTACCAACACGTTCCAAATGTCGTGTCCGACAGTTCCTGCCGCACCCCCACATATCCTCCCATCAAATCCCCCCTTCCCACCTTTCGAATGCGTCCCCATTGTCCCCATGCCCCTTTGCAGCCCTCTCTCCCCGCCGTCATCATGTGGAATAGGGATGGCGCATCGCTGGATTCGGAGAGCTTCACCCCACGCCGTCTGGCTCGTACGCCCTCCTCTCCTCGCCTTGTTTGTAAGCGTCACCTTTCCCTCATCCCCTCCCATCTCCATCCGAGCCCACCTCTTCCCCTCGCCCCTCCCTTCCCCACACCTCCAATCCCTCCTCTCTCCTTCTCTCTCCGTTCCGCCGCAACCACTCATAGCCTACCATCCCCTACGCCCCGTATTCTCCTCTCAGCCGCTCCACGCAAGCCACCCCTCCGCCTCTCCATCATGCCGCTGCTACAGTCACCGTTTGTGGGGCTGGAGTGCACATAATGAGCTCTGTGGGGGGGCTGAAATGGTGGGAATGAGCCGTGAGAGTGGCTGAAATGGTGTGACCGACATGTGCAAGCAATGTGAGTATGTGTAAGAGTGCTAAGCTTACCTCATTGATTGACTGATGCGGGTAAAAGATCTGCCACACGCTCCATGAAGTCCGTCTCTTTGCGTGCACCATTGCACGCAAGTGTTACCACCAATGACGCTTGAGATGACGGTCGCAATCCATGCACTGGGTGGATGTCGTATTGCCACAATTCTTCCACATCCGGCCAACAAACATCCACCGGCACTGGTCCTTCTAGCATCTCCACTGCATCACCGCACTCTCCAGGCCCATCCTGCTGACCCCCCATGCCTCGACTATGTATTAGCGATAGCATAACAGGTACGTCCACTTGGTCCGCCTCCTCCTCCTCATCTCGCTCCTCCAATTCCCCCACACCTTGATCGGCCCCTAGCACGCTTGCCGCGTTCACAACCTGCTGCAAGTCTGGATGTTCCCATTTTGCATCTGCCGGATCCACAAACCGGTACTGGATTCCGAGCTCAGTGTAAACGTCCTCGATCAATTTGTCTTTTCCATTGGACCCACCCACCTTGCTTGGGGCCTTCTTCTGCAACCACCCTTTTAGCTTCACGACCGTATGCATATGAAGGTCCTCTACGACTTGAGCCTCATCAATTTGGACTACAGCCCTTACTCGATTTTGCAAGTCGTTTTCGAAGCTCTTGACCACTGATCGCCTCTTGTGCCACCAGTCGTGCTGGTGTCCCACCCCTCTGTCCGCAGCTACAGTCTTGAATGTACTACCCTCGTCCGTAACAATACCAGCCACTTCAAACTCCACATTCTTGAAGTAGTCCATGCCTAAGTTGAATGCAACGCTTTCTAGCCTAGGGGATGATGGATCATGGACATACTTCTTCGTATTCTCTACATGCACAATTTTCCTACTCTCGGGATGCAGAAAAGACACAGTGCACCACTCCGCCTCTCGAGCTTGGCTAAATCTACCATCCACGCTAATATATCCCACCCCTCCTGCCCTCTTAGACATGCTATCACGCACTGCTGCCATAGAAACCTGGGCTGCACGAATGATAGCCTTCCACAAACCCTTTTCACCCTGCAACAGTCGGTAAAATGTCGTTTTTCCTGGATTTGGCATTCCGAGGTTGCGACACACCTCCCACATCACTTGAAACCCTAACCCTCCGAGGGCAAACGCACCGACAAACTTTTGCATCAGCTGTATAGACCTTGGCCCGGTCCGCTTCCCATTAGGGGGGTTTTCCTTCGTCGGGCTTGTCCATATCTCCGTGCGGCTAGGGCATGTACTACAGTGCCAATACAGTCCAAGTGAAGCCCATGTAGTTTTCCATGACACGAGGGACATGCTCCCGCCGCAGCCTTTTCTTGTGCAACTGATCCGTAGTGGTGCTAATGCTTCTAGAATGTGCCTTGGCTCCAGAAAACATACCATGTATGGAGACATCTCCGTGACGGCTGGTGCACGTGGCCACCCTCTCGGGACAGGCACTGGTGTATCCTTGAGGGGCTCGTCCTGTTGACTAGATCTGGAGGTTGTTGCACATCCAAACAACATTGGGAACTCGGTAGAAAGTCATTATACCCACCACTTCATGCATGCCCACAACTCAGAGCAATCACGAACCCAACTCAGTCCACGCTCGCCCCACTCTTTAGTCGGTCACACCACTCCCGCACGCACGCCCATGAGTTCGTGGTCATTTACCCTACACCAACCAAGCACGGTGATCATTCACACCACACCACCCAAACCACAGGTCATTTGTACCACACCAACGGCTATCACAGGTCATCCAAACCACACCAACGACGATCACATGTCATTTACACCACAACAGCTATAGGCACATGTCCTATACACCACACCAGCGTTTGCTACACAGGCCAGTGACACAATTCCACTCCCACTTTCACAACTCCTTCGACCAACCCCATCCATGCACTGTCTCACCTTTGGGCTCCATCTGGTACCCCGTCTTCATGAAGTACGGCGTGCTCTTGGTTGCTTTGAGCGCTAGCAATCGTGCATGTGTCTGGCTGCAGCTCTGTTTCAGCTCTTGTTGGCTGGGCAACCTCTGCACATACGCCATGGATTGGGGTCTCATTAGGAAATATACGCACTTGCTGTCTACGAGTATATGCAGACTCAACTTCAGTTTTTCCCACTCTATTTTACACAATTTTGAGTGTTTGAGGGTTTCTCACCTTCTGTGCGCGCACGTTCATAGGCCTTGCCCTTTCGGGCCCCTCCCCAACCAGCCCCACGGACAGGGCGTAATCTGCCCCGTCTGTCCTCTTTGTAGGCCGGGAAGTTGTAAACAAGACCCTCAATCTGGATGTTCTCGTTCCCAATTATCCCTGTGACTGCATTAGGCCCGTTGCTCGCCCGAGCGTCGAACTGTCGCCCGTATGTCTCAAGGTGCAGCTCCCCTGTTGCTAGTGCTTCTCCCCCGTGTGCACCTGGACATACGAAGAGGGTTCGTGTGGCACATAGGAATACGCGTGTGGTATGGGCGTCATGTTATCCTCACAACACTCACCCGTAAACCCCTCTTCCCTCCCACAATCGGTTCACCCATGTACCTGCGGCTTTGGCTGCCCGCATTAGCCTTTTATACGCGGTCGGAGCATTCATCATGAAATAGTACAGCACGTCCGATGTTGTAGCCTCCGTCTTGCCACCCATCAAAGCCGACAACCCGCAGCGTTGTAGGCATACGACTGGCCGCATGTGCTTGGATATACCATGAGTGGCCTTGTCATGCTCGGCACTAAGCCCCGCAACTGGATTGGCTTCATTTGCAGTTGTATCCTTTGTCTTCCTGCCAATTTAGGATGGTATGGGTTGAGCAGGGTGTGGCGTCGGGGCATGCCCATGGTGCAGGGTGTGTAAATCTTTATAATTGTGTGGACTCAGCCCCCGTCCTCGCCTTGACCCACAAGTGTGATGCACATGCATCATAAACAGCCGGCCAATACACAGGGGGTTGACATGAGCAAAGGAGCCACAGCAGACTGGCAGGCACCTATCAGCATCCTCGCGCTCCTGGTTGGGAGCAAACATAGGGAGGAGAGGGGAGTGGGGGGAATGGAAGATGATATGTGTAGTAGGGGGAAGGGTGGATGACGGGGGTAGCAGGGATATTGGAGGCTGAAAGGGGTAGCAGGGTGGAAGAGACGAGGACAGGGGTAGCAAGGGGAACGGAGAATGAAATGGGTCGCACGAAGATAAGAGAGGGGAGTGGAGGGAATGCACGGTCGGTAAGGTGGGGTGGCCATAGTGGTGTGGGAATTGCTGCATGGGGAAGTGGAGGCGCGGACGGGGTATCAGTGGGGGATTGGACGGGGGGAAGTGGGGGATTGGACGGGGGGAAGTGGGGGATTGGACGGGGGGAAGTGGGGGATTGGACGGGGGGAAGTGGGAGATTGGACGGGGGGAAGTGGGGGATTGGACGGGGGATAGTGTGGGATTGGACGGGGGGAAGTGGGGGATTGGACGGAGGGAAGTGGGGGATTGGACGGGGTATCAGTGGGGGATTGGACGGAAGGAAGTGGGGGATTGGAGGAGGGGTTGTGGGGGATTGGACGGGGGGATGTGGGGGATTGGACGGGGGGATGTGGGGGATTGGACGGGGGGAAGTGGGGGATTGGACGGGGGGAAGTGGGGGATTGGACGGGGGGAAGTGGGGGCGACGGGAGGGGGAAGTGGAGGCGACGGGAGGGGGGGGTGGAGGCGACGGGAGGGGGAAGCGGAGGCGACGGGAAGGGGAAGTGGAGGCGACGGGAGGGGATAGTGGGGGCGACGGGAGGGGGAAGTGGAGGCGACGAGAGGGGGAAGCGGAGGCGACGGGAGGGGGAAGTGGAGGCGACGGGAGGGGGAAGTGGAGGCGACGGGAGGGGGAAGCGGAGGCGACGGGAGGGGGTAGTGGGGGATTGGACGGGAGGGGGAAGTGGAGGCGACGGGAGGGGCAAGTGTAGGCGACGGGAGGGGGAAGTGGAGGCGATGGGAGGGGGAAGTGGAGGCGACGGGCAGGTGTGATTGAAGGCGACGGGGAGGGAAAGTGGGGGCGACGGGAGGGGGAATTGAAGATGGTGGCGTGTAGGAGACGTTCGTGCCCAGTGGAGGTTGTGAGCGGCTCTTACGTACCTTCGTGACCCTCCCTTGGGAGGTCGACGAGCCATAGGAGCTACCACGCCGTCGTTATCAATCTGTTTCTGTTTGTGGCTGACGGCCGTTTGGCGTTCTATCCTTCGTGGCTGTGGTAACCCTAAAAGTGTGACAGGTTTATCGTACGCTGCGGAAGTGTGCGGGCAATGTCATGGCTACTTTATTTGGCTGCTACATGCAGTATCAAGAACTAGCGGGCCGTATAGGTTGATGTCAGTGAATGCAGGTCGTGGTGTTGTGTGAGTGGTTTGCGCAGGCGTTGTGTGTTGTGTTTGTGGGACGCGATGTGTGGCTTGCAGTTTGCGACAATTTCTATTGGCCAGTTCTTTGTAGTTTGACTCGGCTGTTCGCTAAATAATTCGCGAATTCGCTGACTGGGGGTGCCTTCTTTCGGCTCCCAACTTTCACTACTCACCACTCGCCATCTGTTACGAGTGCAATTGAGTGAACGAACGAGAATTGCACTATCGAAGCAAGAGTACAATGAGCGAAGGCATGAGCGAAGAATATATAGCGAAACTACAGTGGTAACGGTAATGGACTGTGGTTGTCGCGCGACGGGCCTGGGACTGAGGTTGGGGAAAATGTCGAAGCGGAGGCCCGGAGCGCGGGTTACCCGCTGAGCCGTGAGGTCGGGATGCGACGTGCGAAGGTGGCGGGAGGATTGTCGATGCGAGGGTTGCGAGTGGTAACGGTGCTGACTGTGGTGCTACAGTGGTGTACGCGCTGAGCGAGGACACGAAGTAAGGAAAAGGAATTTTCCTTACACTACCCCCCCCCCCCTAAGGAGGTCCTCCTTACGAAAGCGCGTGTACGTCCCTGAAATTTCGGCTGCGCAGATACTCGGTGAGGACGGGGTGGTTTTCGATGCTGTCCAGGGGAACCCAGTTGTCTTCAGTGGGTGTACGGTCTTTCCAGCGGATCAGGAACTCGATCCTTCGGGCTCCTCGAGGGTCACGAACTCTGTGGCTCAGGATTTTTCGGGGGTGATGATTGGTTTAGTCGGCGGTCGTGTCATGCTAGCTGGGCGATTGCGTGGCAATTGGCTCGTGGACGGGACGTTAGGGCGAAGCAGGCTGACGTGGAATGAGGGGCTGACGTACCAGTCAGCAGGGAGGATGAGGTGGGCGGTGACGGGCGTAATCATGTGGCTTATGCGAAATGGTCCGCAATATCGGGGGCGGAGTTTTGGAGTGATGGGCAGGCGGAGGTTCTGGGTGTCAAGTAAAACTAGGTCGTCGGGCTGGTAAGTGATAGGTCCGCGGTGGCGGTCGGCGTTGCGTTTAGCGATGATGTTCGATTTTTTTATTGCGTCTGCTGCCCGGGTCCGTGCTGCTTGTAATATTTCGGCGAACTGTTGTGCTCGTGGCACTGGGTTGTCGGAATTCGGGGTCATGGGTACTGTCGGGTCTTGTCCGTAGTTTAGGTAAAATGGTGACTGTTGGGTCGTGGCGGATGGCGAGTTGTTGTACGCGAATTCGATGAGTGGCAGTTGCTGTTCCTGTCAGAAACAAGAGTGATTGAACTATGAAACATTGGAGTACAAGTATGAACCCTAGAGTTGTGTACCCCCTAAAGGCTAACCCACTATAGCCTACACAGCAATAACATATATATAATGTTTGACACACCCCCATAGGCAAAGTGGGGGAGAGCAAGGGGTCACAAGACCAGTCAAGAAAGGCAAAGCAAACTCAGGGTGGATCACAACGTCACCACACACTCTGAGCACAAGCAAAGGGCCACAGGGCCAGTTCACATGCAGAGGCATATATGCAACACAAACAGCAAGGTGATCTCAACCTAGCAAAGCAAACAGGGAGGTATATATATATAGAGATCACAGTACAGACAAAGCCTACAGCAAGTGAAGAAAAGTGGGCACAAGCCCCAGCATAGTGCAGAAGCGCTGATGATCGCCAGGCTGAAGTGCCTTGGTGAATATATCAGCAGTGTTGGCCTGAGTGGCCACGTAACGTAGACGAAGCTGACCGCGCTGCTGCAGCTCTCGAGCCAGGAAGTAACGGAGAGCGATGTGCTTCGTTCTGTGCTCCAGTCTGTGCTCCTCACACAAGGCAATGGCAGCCTTGTTGTCGACGTACAGCACTGGAGGAGAACTAGGCCGCTCTCCCAAGTCGGTCAGCAGGTAGGTCAGCCAGCGTAGCTCCTGTGCAGCCATGGCTGTGGCGTAGATCTCAGCCTCACAATTGGAGCTGAGAACTGAAGACGAGCGAGTAGAATGCCAAGAAACTGAACCAGAGCCAAGGCTGAAGGTGTAACCCTGTGACGACCGCTGAGTAGCCTCGTTGTCAACCCAAGAAGCGTCTGAGTGCCCAGTGAGAACAACTGAGCGCCTCCCTCCAAGCACGAGCCCCATGCCTGACGTACTGCACAAGTAACGCAGTACCCTCTTAGCAGCATCCATGTGCACCTTTCGGTGACGACCAGGAGCCACGTAGCGAGCCAGAAGGCCAAGAGGGTACGCGAGGTCAGGACGAGTGCAAGTCATCAGGTACATGAGGCAACCAACTAGCTCTGGGTAAGGACCACTCGGCTCTACGGACTCGTCCGAAGGTGGAGCTGAGAGCGAGTGACCTGTAGCCAGAGGAGTGGCCTGTGCCGAGGACCAGGTGAAGCCGAAGCGCTGAAGGACCTGCTGCACCATGTGTGACTGAGTCAGTGTGATGGTGTGGCGTGCTCTGTCCCGGGTGATCCGCAAGCCAAGATAGCTTGTCAGCTCACCCAGGTCTGTGCACGTGTGTCTCTTCTGCAGCTCCGACTTCACGTGGGCGAGAGCCTCAGTGTCAGCAGTGGCAAAGACCAAGTCGTCGACGTACACGAGGATGTAGAACGGCGGCAGTGAAGTGTCGGTGCGCAGAAACAGCGACGGGTCGGCAGTAGAAGGCGAGAACCCAAGAGCCGCAAGTGTAGTCCTCAGTGTGTCGTGCCACTCACGTGGCGCCTGGCGTAGACTGTAGACCGGCCGCCGGAGGCTCCACTGGGTACCAAGAGGAAACGACCCAGTGAAGCCAGGAGGGCGGCGCAGCCAGATCTCCTCGTGCAGGCTGCCCTGCAAAAAAGCTGTGCTGAAGTCAAGAGAGTGAAGCTCGTAGTCACGCTGAGCGGCAACGTGCAGCAGCACCCGAAGAGTGGTCATCTTCGGGGTGGGGGAGAAGGTCTGGAAGAAGTCTACTCCCTCTCGCTGACTGAAGCCTCGAGCAACGTACCGAGCCTTGAAGACAGGCGGAGAACCCAGCGGCCGCTTCACCCTGAAAATCCACATGCCACTGACGATGTTCGCGCCAGGAGGGGGAACCTCGTCGACGTAAGTGCCAGTGGACTTCCAGGATGCCATCTCTGCATCCATGGCTGTCTGCCACTGAGAGGAGTACTCACCCGCGATCGCCTCAGCGTAAGAGCTCGGGGTCGGGATGTCTGGAGCATCCGGGTCTCCCTCAGGTGCAATCAGCATGGACACGAGATGAGGTACAGCGGCGGCAAAGCACTCAAACTCCTCCTGCCTGTCCTCAAGGACGTCTGTGCCAAGAGCACACTCACCCCCGACGGACGAAGGACAGACAGACTCAGACTCAGCAACAAGACTCGCAGCGTAGTCTAGACGACAGTGAGCAGCAAAGTCGACAAGCTCAGCAACTAAGGCAGACGCAGCAGCTGACTCAAAGGAAGGGTCAGTGACAACTGTGGCCAGGAGACGCGTGACAGTAGGACTAGCAGCACGAAGAGAGTCAGACTCCGGGTCAGCAAGGGCAGGAAGGGAGGACGCAGGAGGAGAAGGCAGAGGGACACGCTGTGGAGCAGTGGAAAGACGAAGCGACATCTGGTGAGTGCCGAGGATAGCAGGAGGACGCTGACGCGGGACACGACGACCAGTGCGAGCAGCACGAACAGGTGACGCAGAACGAGACTCAGGCGACACAGGACGAGACTCAGGCTCACGACGCTCCGTAAGACCTCCTGTCGGACCAGTGTAGGGAGAGGGACCAGGAAGTGGCGAGGCAGGCTGTAACTGTGACTGCGACTGGACAGGCGGAGGACACTCTAAGGAGGGAGCAGGACAAGGAGGAGGCGGCTGACCAAGAACCTGCTGAAGGAGCGGAACGAAGTACGGCCGCGGCCGCGACGTGCCCCCTGAACCAGTAGAGACAGCACCAGAACCCCCAGCAGCAGCAGCAGCAGCAGCAGCAGCAGCAGCAGCAGCAGCAGCAGCAGCAGCAGCAGCAGCAGCAGCAGCAGCACCTCTAGTAGTGTCAACTCCAGTACCTCCAGTAGCACCAGCTCCTGCAGCACCACCAGTCCCAGGACCAAGAGCACCACCAGTAGCTCCAGCAGCTCCAGTACCTCCAGCAGCACCGCCAGCAGCTCCAGGACCTCCAGCAGCACCAGCAGCACCTCCAGCAGGACCAGTACTAGCAGCACATCCAGCAGCTCCAGTACCTCCAGCAGCACCAGCAGCACCTCCAGTAGCAGCAGGGCCTCCAGCAGGCGGCACCTCAAAACTAGGAGCTCCACTCCGGAGGCTGCAGCGCCGAGCGTACCACTCACGTAGCCGCTGAGGGGAGGGAGGCTCCGGCCGCGACACCGTACCCGCAGCTCCAGTAGCCCCACGCCGGAGGCCGCAACGCTGAGAGTACCACTCACGCAGCTGCTGTGAAGAGGGAGCGCCACCAGGCTCAGCACCCCCAGGCTCAGCACCCCCAGTCTCAGCACCCCCAGGCTCAGCACCCGCAGTCTCAGCACCCCCAGGCTCAGCACCCTCAGTCTCAGCACCCCCAGGCTCAGCACCCGCAGT